GAGTCTTGATTACAGCATTAATCTGTTTATCAAAGGTTAGATTACTGTCTGTGATGGACGAGAGGAGTCACAGGAATTATCAGAAAAATAGGGTTTCCATTTATTTAACCCAAAAATTATATTTACAAAAGTAATAAATGTTGAGCTCATAAAAGAGGTCAAAGAAACAAAACTAAACTCAGGCAAAGAACTGCAAACTTACCAAGTGACTGCCCAAACAAACATAACTGACCTAAACAGGAAATGACACACACGGATATATATAATGGCTGATCAGGAACTAAAGTGTGTTATTGTGTTCAAATGAAAAAATGAAAATATACAAGAGTTACCGACTTTAGAGTGTGGCCATGGGTTTGGCCATCACACTGTCAAAAATCACTTCTAGGGTCCTCGCAAAGTGTTTTTTAAAAATAAATTCTTAAGGGCCCGCAGCTGTTGTGGTTACAGGGACCAAACACAAAGACCTCTATTTTCTGTTCATTAAAGTTTAAAGCCGTCAGTGCCTTAACATCCTCCGAAAAATCTAGCAAACGCTTCAGAGGACTCACAGACTTACGTTTCAGTGGTAGATAAATCTGTGGATTGTCCGCCTAACAAATTTAATGTAATTTTAACAAATTTAACATAACGAATTTCATCCTGATTATTTCTCATTTTACTTATTAAACAGATTGAGACCAGAAAGACAAACCCTATGAAAAAGGCAACACAAGGCTCCAGCACTCATTCAACAGAAAACTACCAAAGTATTTATGTGTTCAGCCTGCAGGTCAAACAGGGATGTAAAAAAGGCATACAGAGCCTAATGCAATCAAAACAGGAAATTCAAAAACAACAAAACAAAAGCGCTCATCCTTTGGCTTCTCAGCAGTGGCCGATAACTGATAATGGCATTTCAGTGAGAAGGCAAACCACAATGCATATATATATCTATAAAAAACAAGACAAAACACTAATGTGTAGTTGTAAGTGCCTTCTGGCTTGCTTTGAATGAAACATGAGGCCATGCCATGTGGTATGATTACAGCATATCATCATCTTCTCCTCCTCCGTACATGTTGGCCAGTTTCTTGAAGCGAGGGCCCCACTCACTGAGGCAGTCATAGTTCTGGTCTCCACTGCTTGAAGAGTTCAAAGAGGAGAGACTTCCTGCATCAGAACCACCTCCCTCGTAGTCAAATACCATCTGGGAGTCATAAGGGGGTGCTGTTGGGTCATTGTCTGCAGCCTTCAGGTTCTGAGGGAGGAGCAAAGATAACTTTTCTAGAAATTTTACACAACTTGTTTTGGTTACCTTACATATCCTGGATAAAAATAACAGAATAATGAATGTGGAAGTTATTAAAGCCCAGACATGATGTACAATTGACATACACATC